TTATCACAACCACGCACGCACGCACGCACGCACGCACGCACGCACGCACGCACGCACGCACGCACGCACGCACACACGCACACACGCACACACACACACACACACACACACACACACACATACACTCACAGGGCCCTAATGAAATGAATCCTTCTGTATCAGCAGTGCACTGGCTGTTTGGCACAATGAACCACCATGAATAATTCAGCCAGGAGAGGAGAAGGCAAAGAGAGGCGAGAAGGAAATGTGATGAGAGGTGAGAAACAGCCGAAAAACGACGGGGGACGGAATGACAGAAGAGTGGGAGTTTGTTGAGATGTTAGCAGCAGAGGAGGAGAGACACAACGGCCAAGCTTGCTGAGTCAGAGAGGAGCTGTGTGTTTCTGCCAGCACAGAGGCCCCTTTGTGCTGCCCTGTGCAGATGCCTGTGCACAAACACACTGGGACGACCGAGCCGTGTCAGACTCTGCTGCCTCCCTCTTTCCCTCCTCTCATCCACACTGCTCTCTTTCACTTTGGAAGCTATTTCCAGACTTGCGTCACAATGTAATCAACAGCTGAAACAACGCTACATTAGAAGTCACAACATTTCATATATACTGTATATAACATTCAAGAATATGAGCTACGTTTCTGAATACCATTTAATGTTCATTAGTCAAAATAGGAGTCAAGATGTGATAAAATATCCAGCTGTGCTCAAGTTTATGAGCTAGGTTTCTGAACACCATTCAATGATCATTACTCTTACTTTGACAAGAGTCAAGATGTGTTAAAATGTCCACCGCTGTGCAGTGTGACTGTTTCGCATTATTTTATAAACTACTCCAAATGTTATAATATCGCTTCCAACATGGGGTTTCTTTCGTAAAAAACGAGATTAGTCTTTATGCCAGACTATATGGTATCAATAACAAGCGTTTCAGATACATTGAATGCCTGCTAATCTACACTATAAATAAAGTTGAAAAAATCTGGCACTTTTATAGAAACATCAGATTTAAATGTAGGTACACAATTCTTTGATCACATAGTGTAATTAGTAGAGACAGACAGGGACACCAAAACAAAAGATTTGTATGGCAGAAAGTAACAGTGAGTGCTAAGCCATAGTGCAGTTCATGTGTATAATGAAGCGGTAACTTACGTGGCCACCTGATGCATGACCTTGGTGGAGGTGTCCTTCAGAGTGTCCTTCAAGTTGTCCTTGAAGTTGCTGAAGAACTTGCCGGCTCCTCCCTTCACCATATCCAACAGTCCTCCGCCATAATTGGCATCCATTTCTGGGGACAAAAGAACTTTCAGAAATTAAGAAGACCATTCTCAGACACACACACACACACACACACACACACACACACACACACACACACACACACACACACACACACACACACACACACACACACACTAAGGATGCAAAAAAGAGAGACACACTTTAATTGTAAATGGCAACAAAATAGACTTTTGGAAAAAGGGGTAAGAGAGGATCAGTGGCTTGCTAAAGGACACTTCAACACTATCTTTAGGAGTCAGGAGTCTACTTACTGAGGCAATATGAGTCACTGTACATTAATGTGTAGATGTGAAGGAATGATGGACAAGGAAAACAGAGACACACAAATAAATGCATACCATCTGGACTTTGTGTGTGTGTGTGTGTGTGTGTGTGTGTGTGTGTGTGTGTGTGTGTGTGTGTGTGTGTGTGCGTGTGCGTGCGTGCGTGCGTGCGTGTGTGTGTGTGTACTTGTGCATGGACTGTTTTCCCCCCCAAATAACACCACTCCTCGACCACCACGACAACTCCACACACACACACATACACATACACATACACACACACACACACACACCGGCCATCACCCTTCTGCCCCCACCAACACAAACCACCGAGACCTCCTCTATCGTACGATACAGTTCAACGTCCTTGAAGACGAGGAACTGAGTGGAACGACTGTTCACCTCCCAATGACCTCCTGGGAGGAGTGTGTGTGTGTGTGTGTGTGTGTGTGTGTGTGTGTGTGTGTGTGTGTGTGTGTGTGTGTGTGTGTGTGTGTGTGTGTGTGTGTGTGTGTGTGTGTGTGTGTGTGTGTGTGTGTGTGTGTGTGTGTGTGTGTGTGTGTGTGTGTGTGTGTGGAGGAGGGGGGGTTGTTGCGATGCTTCGTTCTATTTGTCTTTGGTTTGGGAAAAATGTATTTTGTAGAAGAACAAATTCCACCCAGTTAAAGTGCTGAACTTGGCAGTCGCTGTCTGCTGTGGTTTTTGTCACCACTCTGTCCACTGTAAATAATGTCAACTCATGTTGTGTGTTTGTGCTAAAAAAGTGCATTCAGAGTGAAAGTAGCATTAACTGGCCATGTTTTTTTTCTTCTGTGTTTTCGCTCAAAATGGCCCCATTTTGTGATAGATTGTGGAGATAAACTGTTTGTTTAGAGGGCTGCTGAATGTCAACACTGCAGAAAGACATCAATTCTGTCTCCGTCTCCCTCTGACAGGATACCCCAGCTATTCAGGAAGTCTCGCTTCTCCTTTTCTCCCCATGAGTCCTCTGGATCACCATAGCAACGGCCTCTATGGACAGCACCGATTCTATGAAACTCAAAAAGGTAGGTGTGTGTGTGTGTGTAAGTGTAAGTGTGTGAGTGAATGTGACAAAACTGCTTTATGTACATATATACTTCCTGCTCAATCAGCACTCTTCACAGGACTAAAAACAGCTGTTCACTTGTGGTTTAGTTTTTGCAAGTTACACATTTGTTATTTCCTTTTTTCTACATAACTATGACACAGTTAAATATGGTGCTTTTGAAATGGGCCCTATCATGCTTTTGGGTGGTTTTCCCTTTTCAATAACTGTGATATTTAAAAAAAGAAATATTGGTTTCATGTTAAAAAAAACAAGTCTGATAATACCTTGTAAATCATTCGCCAATTTAATTGATTACAAAAATCGCGTTTGCGTATAATTAATTTCCCAAAAAGAGTCAAAACTCACAATAAACAAAGCTCTAGATGAATATGACTTGTAGCCTTTTTTATGAGGATCTTTTAACGGTTAATTATTTTGGCAACGATAATCATGTAGCGAACTTCTGATATTGTGGCATTCCTAATTAAAGCAACTGCAACTTTTCTCAAATCTCAAACCTTGAACTTTAGTAACTTCATTTATTTTCCTCCAGATCACTTCTACCTGAGAAGCCTTCCTCCCCAGCCCCCCCTGCTCTCCACCAGTCACAGCCTCCCCCCCCTCTCCAGACCAGGCCACCCACTTGGCTCCTGCAGCCGAGAGACGGACAACGGGGGAGGTGGAACAGGCGGGAAGAGCACCAAGGACGTCGGCGAGAAAGGACTATCATCCGTGTCGAAGGCGAAGGAACGATCGAGCAGCAAGGAGCGGCACCAGGAGAGCAAAGACAAACAACATCATCACCACCAAACGAACCCTCCGACCGGCCACCACCACCAAGCGTACCCCCACCCTCACCCCCACCCTCACCACGCTCTCCTTCCTCACCTCACAGGCAGGGAGGAGGACCACAGACACCCTCTGGAGCGACACAAGGAGTACAGTGACAGTCAGGAGAAACACATGAGTGCCTGTAAACTGTCCAGTGGTGGTCCGACAGCAGAGACGGGAGGAAGGGACAGATCTCTGAGCAGCTGCAGTGGTGGAGCTGGTAGACCTCCATCAGGCAGGCGCTGCTCCAAGGATGGCTCTGTAAACGGGGAGATGAGGATCAGCGAATCCTCAGCTTCTTCTTCCAATGAATGTATGAGAAGAGGTGCATCGTCGGCCATATTGGCGCCTCCAAACCCTCACTCTGTGACTTCTTACTCCATGGCTCCCCCTCCCCCTCCCCCTCCGCCACCTCCTCCTCACGCTTTGCACATGGGCTCCACAGGGTGGCTACACCATGCACATCACCACCCTCATCCGGAGTTTTACTGTCCCCCGGCCCCTCTTACACTCACGCCCTCCAAAGATCCAGCATCTGGAGGATCCGGCAGGGAGGGGAAAGCAATCAACCCGACTTATGTACCCTCAGCTGGGCCACTTGGAGACCTGTCCGCCTCAGACTGTCGTGGAGCAGGAGGAGGTGGAAGAAAGTCAGATGAGAAGAGTGGAGAAGGATCCTATGACAGTTCCTCTCATCATCACAGTCGAATTAGTTGCCAAAAGAAGGACAAATCCCAGCCGCACCAGCAGCAGTTGGGATATGGAAAAGCCGACAAACCTCCCGACTGGAGCCACCAGACGCAGCACTTCAACAAACCCAACGGGCAGCCCGAGCTGACGTCCTGCAGCCTGGACACATCCTTCAGAGACGTAGAGGTGGTGGACGACGTTTACCGGCCCTCGCTCCCACTCGAGGCCCAGGGGACGCAGCCTAGTGCCGGACAGGGGACATCCAAGAATAGCTCAACTCCTCCATTTAGGGATTGTTCCCTCTCAGGTCCTGACGGGAGGTCGGGGTCGGCGTCTCAAAGGGAAGGACAAAAGGTGGCAAGGATACGGCACCAGCAGCACAGCAGCCATGGAGGAAGTACCGAAGAGAGGGGAAGAGATGGAGGACAGACTGCATCTTCCTGGGGGGCTCAAGGGGGTTTTCAAGAGGACCAGAGGAAAGGCTCCCATCATGCATCAGGTGGTAACAGTGAAGTAAGAGGGCTCAGCTCCAGAGCTCCAAACAGTGACCAGCCTCCACCTCTGTCCCGCTCCGCAACGCACAACGCGGAAGGCGAGGGCAGTGCCATGAAGAACCTAATGAACTACAGCTCCCAGCAGCCTCTTCTGCTGCCACATCGAGGCCCATTTGGAGGTCTGGGCTGCCTCAAGCAGGGTGGAGAGAGATCAGAGAAAGGGGACAAGGGAGGAGGAGCTAAAAGCAACACCTCCCAGCAAGACCCTCCCAAACAGTCGCTGCCTCCTCGCCGAGGCTCTGCTAACGAGGGCGAGAGGGGGGAGCGAGGGGGGAAGGAGGCGGGTGAGGCAGGTGAGGGGGAGGTGCGACAGCCTCCGGTGGGTATTGCGGTCGCGGTAGCCAGGCCCCCCCATCGTTCCCCAGACAACACCCCCGGACACAGCAGACAGGGCAGGGTGCTGCCCAGCATGAAAGGTCAGACATCATTAATGCTCCTTGCTCTGAAAGTCAATTAATGCTATTTCTGTGCTCTGGGCTTCATTAAGGCGGGGGGGGGGGATCTATGTACAGTATCTTATATTTCTGGGTCCTTTTTTGATGTTTACTGAGGACTTATTTCCGTAATTAACCGGCCAAATGGAGACAAATTAGCAGAGAAGCTTTAAGCATGTCCGACCTTTAGACTCAAACAGCTTCTGATTTTTAACCTTTAAATGGGCATTCACATATATATATTTTGGAAAATTAATTGATTGCTGTTTCATACATAGTAGACATTAATACATCCGTGTTACACCTATATTATTCCATTATTACACCCAAATTAAACCCTTTTTAAACCCATATTACACTGTTATTATACCCCTGTCACACCCATATTATGCATTAATACACCCCACTACATCATGTTACAACAATATTACCTTCCTATTACGCCATTATTATACCCATATTACACTGTAATTACACCTATATTACACTGTAATTACACCTATATTACACTGTTATTACACCATAATTACACTAATATTACACACATGGACCCAGCCTGTCAAATGACTGCAACCCCCAGGATACAGAAACCATTCCTGAAGTGTTATTTGAATAGTTATATGAAGCATGTGGAGGGTTGATTGGTATACAAGAAAAAGGAACAATTTCTGGCACACAAAGAAAACCACTATATAAGATTATGTGTACGAGCGTCTGCACATAGTCTTCAGTTCAGTTGCTTTCAGATGTACTTGTCTGAAACACCGTCATGATATTTAATGTCACTTTGATTGTATTACAGCAGTATCACGCCCCATGTATCCTCTGGGTCGGGAGGCAGAGGAGAGGAAGAGGATGACAGAGGAGCAGATCAACCTTCATCATCTGGACAGAGAAATGATCATGAGGTAAATACACACACACACACACACACACACACACACACACACACACACACACACACACACACACACACACACACACACACACAACCACACACATGTGCACACGGTAGCATCTATTCAGGTTTTCTTCCCGTCTGATAAGCTGCACTTCTTTTATTCTCTCTCCCAGTCTGCGGCTCTGCTTCTCTTTTCTCTCATCCCCTCACTCCATTTACTCTTCTCACCCTTTGATGTGGTATTTCTGTACCCCCTCACTCTCTCCCTCGCCCCCCCCCCCCCCGCCCCCCCTCTCTAAGATGAGATGTGGTGACATTAATGTTACAGGGCACTAATATGAATGTCTCCTGAAGTACAGGCTCTTATTATGTATCATATTAGGGAGAACACACTATATAATGAGAACTCATAGACCAGGCCACAAGATGATGGCTGTTCCCTGTGCCATCACATTTTCTTTTTCTTGATGATTATAATGGTAGTAGTGGTAATGAGAGACAGGATGAAGATACATGATCATAATGATGGTGATGGTGACTATAAGAGGGGTAATGAGATAATGACAAAGTTCAAACGCCTCAACAGGGAAAACAAGGAGCGCGTGGAGTTTCCGCACCGGATACACCCTTCCCAGTACGTTGCCACGAGACTAGACCTTCACCTCCTGGTTCCCGGGGGGCGGAGCAGGTTGGGTCGGACCGGGCCGCTCACGCTCATCCCGGCCACCACCACTGGATGCAACGCACAGGACAGTCCCTCCTCTGGATGGGGAACACTCATACGGTGAGTAGAGCGGAGTGGAGGGGCGCATCATAATGTTTTATGGGTATGGGAAGTGTATCTGTGTCCCACACATTTTTAAAAGCAAGGCAATTTAAAGTTGCCTTCCAATAAACATTGAAATAATTAAGACGTTATGGCAGCAGAAGGATTATCTAAATACATTTTTTAAACTTGTATAGATAGAGCTAGGTATAAAAAAACAAAAACCAACAGTGACAGTGCGGTGTAAGATATTAGATTTTAATGAAAATGCAGCGGTCTTAAAACTTTAAGTCTACAGTCTTAATTTTAAAACAAGTTGCAGCAACCTGCAGTGCTTAAAACAATTGTCTGGTCTAATTTTATGTTTTTGAGAGTCACATGTAAGTCAGTGTAGGGCGTTTGTGCAAAGGTCTTTTATTATTGATTCATTGTTTTCATGGTCTTTTGTTTCAACCATGGGCCAATGTTTCATCATGCTTTAATGGTTTAATTCATGTTTTAATGGTAAGAAAACCCAGGTGTTTTAAAAACTATACATTTACCCAACCTTTACTTGACAGGAACTAGTTTAATAACAACAGCAAAACCTGTTGACTCTTTTTGTCATCAAATCATTCCATTCATATTCAGTCAATCAAGCCCACGTAGGTCATCGGTCCTCATCTGGCATCACTGTGCCAGTTCGCCCCTTAACTGGCTTCACCCGTGGTGTCTCATTGACTTCGAGCAAGTCCAAGTATCTGCTGTTGCGTGATTGCTTCGTTTTGTATGCTGGTCACCTGAGCCTCATCACGCCGTCTTTAGATTGTAAGTGATGTGCTTCTGCTTGATTCGTCTGATGCTAGCAGTCTTACATATCACTAACGTGACTTTTAATTGAACCGCTCGTAAACATCTGAGGTCCTTTAAGTCTTGCATGACACCACCTGGGCAAAAGACACACAAAAGACAAGGAAATGTTTTTTAAAAGGGTGCTCTTCTTCTACATGTGTTTTGTTTTTGGTTCAGTGGATTCACATGGTCCATTCCTTATGCAACCACAATCTTTTCAGAGAAGTAAAATAAGTTATTGTAAATGCTTTCCTCATTTGACTAAATCCATTGTTTTCCCAGGTCTGAGTCACGTGGCGGATGAAGCCCCGGCTTCCCAGCGGGTCTGCAGCCCGTCATGGGGTCGCTCACCCAAGACCCCAACTCCCAGCTGGTGGTCCTCCCGAACGAGAGCCCGGGCCTCATCATCACCTCGGTTAAGTCTAAGCATCTTTTCTTACAACACACACATCCAGCAAAGCTCAGACACTCACCTGCCCCTTCGCTCCCTCCCGTCCTCTCCTTTTTGTACCATCGGAGCCGCTGCCCATTTCCTCTCCGAGTTTTAGTATCATTGGCTAATCATAATATAATGCTCAAACTAAGTCCCTCTGTCAGTGGGACCGTGTTTTATAGCTCTTGTTAATGGGGAGCAGCTATTCCATCGCGCCCTCTGCATGTGCCAAGCGTTATGCAAACCATTTCAACTGGCGCTCATTCTCTTGTGTGTGGAGCACTGGGACTTTGTTGTGTGTGTGTGGGTGTGTGGTGTGTGTGATGTGTCGTGTGTGTGTGTGGTTGTGTGTGTGTGTTGTGTGTGTGTGCGTGTGTGTGTGTGTGTGTGTGTGTGTGTGTGTGTGCCGTGTGTGTGTGTTGCGTGTGCGGTGTCTGTGTGCGTGTGTGTGTGTTGGGGACGGCTAAAGTTAGTTGTGCTCATAACTGGAACAAAAGAAGACATTGCTTAGTGTTATGGGGTTGTTATTGCACATCTTACCAGTTTCTAGAGGGACAAAAATTGGTATGTGTTGTGTGTGTCTTTGTGTGTGTTTGTGTGTTGATGTGTGTGTGTGTGTGTGTGTGTGTGTGTGTGGTGTGTGTGTGTGTGTGTGTGTGTGTGTGTGTGTGTGTGTGTCAACGTGCTTTGCAACAGGCTGTGTGTTTATTATCTCCCGCTCCTTGCCTCGCTCTGTGGGAGTTCCTGCAGAGGAGGGGAAGTGCATCCACTGAAACCCTTCCCCTGGGAAACATTAGCCCACTCAGGTCTATCTCAAGAACAATAGGTTCCCAGCGACAAGGCAAGCCAAGGAGGGCTATGTGTGTAGTTGGTGTGTGTGTGTGTTGGTGTGTGTGTGTGTGGTGTGTGTGTGTGTGTCTGTGTGTGTGTGTGATGTGCTGTGTGTGTTGTGTGTGTGTGTGTGTGCTGTGTGTGTGTGTGTGTGTGTGTGTGTGTGTGTGTGTGTGTGTGTGTGTGTTTGGTGTGTGCTGTGTCAACTCTCTTGTGCTTTGGGGCTTCACAGAAAACGAGTGTTCCCTGTGTTGATAAATGTTAGATTGATCTTGCCGGCCTCCACTTCGCTCGCAGTTGTTCCGTTTGTTAGTGGCCGACGTTTCCTGCAGCCCAATCTGAGCGAAGAGCACCTCCCCATCTGAACCCTTCCCTGGGAAACATTAGTCCGCACTTCAGGCATAATCTCACAGAACAAAGGTTCCCAGCTGACAAGGCAGCCAAGGAGGATGTGTGTGTGTGTGTGTGTGTCGTGTGTGTGTGTGTGTGTGTGTGTGTGTGTGTGCTGTGTGTGTGTGTGTGTGTGTGTGTGTGTGTGTGTGTGTGTGTTGTGTGTGTGTGTGTGTGTGTGTG